CATACACACACACACACACACACACACACACACACACACACACACACACACACACACACACACACACACACACACACACAAGAAAGAGAAACAAATAGTGACGACTCCAGAAGTTTTTACGTGGATAACCCGTATAGGGAATAATCATGGGGTCTGTCCCAGTTGCCAAAATCCACTATTGATTGATGATTACGAAAATCACTTGTCCAATAGACGGAAAACGGTAACAATATTTTTCAGAGTACAACATTAACGGACAATGTCTGGTTGGAAGTGGTTAACGACAACTGGTGGACGTCGACCACGATCACCGATGATCGTTGGAGGTCAGCGATGGTGGTCATCAAATTGTCCATTCTTTTTAATATAATTTTTTTTCTATTTAAAAAAAATATTAAAATAAAAATATCTCACGTATTTTTCTACTTAATTGTTACAAATTAAAGTTACTTTAATTTCTTTCAAATCAGCCTTTGAAATACACACACACACATCCACGCACACACGCACACACGCACACACACAGATGAAGGAGAAACAAGTAGTGCCGACACCAGAAGTTTTTACTTTAAAAACCCGTAAAGGAAAAAACCACAGGGTCTGATTCAGTTTACAAAATTCTCTTATCCCACAGATGAGAAATGATAATATTTTTCACATTACAGCATCGACTACTGACGTTTGGTTGGTAGTGGTTAACGACAACTGATAGGTGTCGACAACGGTCAGTGGTGGTCATCGGAGGTCGTCAGTGTTTGGCAGGATTCAGCGAGGGACGATAGTAATCAGCCGCGTTCTACGGTGGTCGGCGACGGTCGACAGTGATTGACGAAGTTTAGCGGTGATCGCCGGCGATCAGCGGTGATGTTGAGTTATAACACCTCCTCAAAACCTCAAGCTCTCTCTCTAGACTTAAGCTCCACCCTCATGAGAACAATGAGACTCTATTTATAGTGTTATGAGTACAATTAATGTAGAAATATGAAATATTTTGATCAAACGGTCTGAAGAGACTCCCTCAATCAGATGATGTTTAATAGACATTTGGATGCCTTAATGATGTCAAAATTGAATGATCTTGAGCTCATTTGATTTTTCCTTTCGACACGCTTGATTCGACTATAAACATGTCAGATTTGACATTTGTTTGACATTCCAAATGTGTCTAGAAATCTTCTAAGAATGATTTAATGACTTGATCTGGACTTGATTTGACTCGGATTGGACTGACATTGACGTATTAGGTCCATCTCATCGAGCCGTTTAGTTTGATTATAATTTTGCTGAAATCGAAGCTCGAACGAATTTTTAATAAGATTTGAACATCTTTTGCTCAAATTATTATCTTGATCCGTATCATGATTCGTTTTGAATAATGAAAATTTAATGTTGGTGTGTATTATAATATATATGTATATATA